AGAAAGCCTCGCTGGCGTCACGAACGGCTTCACCACCAGCGCGTCCGTCGCCAGCACCAGGTCCCTCAGCTTGTCGGGGTGGACCGTCACCAGATAGGGGCGGCCCCTCACCGTGATGCCGAGTCCCCGCTGCAGCCCAGGACCCCACTCCTCTTTGTGAACCTCCAGACCCTTCTCGACCAGGACATTCTTGACCACCTCCTTGTCGACCTCGATGTCGTCCGTCAGCGGGTCCAGCAGCCTGAACCCTATGTAGTCGTCGATGTACAGCATCAGGATCAGTTGGCACTCCTCGGATGACGGCGTAGGTCTCCCATAGGCAAGCTCCCCCGGGTCGTAGCCCTTCGCCTCCTTAATCGAGTCCGCGAGGCGCGAGTGCGCCAGGAATACGGCCCACGAGTGCCCCATCACGGGCGCGATCGCGCCCACTCCCACTGCCCCGTCGGGAGGCCGTGGTATCTCCTTCCCCTGGGACGCCGCGCAGTCCCACTGCTCGCCCGGTAGCACACGTTCCAACACACAGTATGTTGCCAGTTTGTCCGTCCACCTCAGTCTGTAGAACCAGTCTGGGATGTCTCCCGCAAAAGACAACAGCTCCTTCTCCCCCAACACTTCGGGCGACAGGTCCAGCGAACTCAAAGCACTCGGTGAACCCAGGCCTGTCCACGGTGGCTTCCTGAACCGAAGGTTGAGACGCCGACAGTCCCAGACCAGCCGCGAGGCCTTGATGTCCGCCTGGTCCCCCTTCCTCCAGGTTCTTCACCACCGTGAAGACCCCCACGTACTCCCACACCTCGTCGACGTAGCCGAACATCCCCGCCTCCCACATCTTCAGCGCAAAGACCCATATATTCGACTTCACTTTCCACCCAGGGTCGCTGTTGCTCTTCGTCTGCGGGTACTTGTCCCAGTCCACCTCGTCGTCGCACCTCAGCATGAGCCCCTCCACGTTGTCGAGGTAGGGACGCGCCGTCGAAGAAAGCCGCCGCACTTCGAGGCCCCTCGCCCCAACCTTCGGCACCGAGACCTGATCCGCTATCAAGTCGCACATGTCGCCCTTCTTCACCACTCCTATACCCTTCTTCGTCGTCTCCGACGCGCCGTAGCCCAGCAACTGCCTTGTCCCAAGACGGCCGAGAACCGCCCTGCCATCGTTGATGCCTTCCCAGCTGGCTCGCTCCGCCAGCAGCTCCCACAGCATGTTGATGACCGTCCGCTGCAGTAGCGTAGCTGAAGACCATGACCTCCCGCAAGGTCGTAGCCGCAACTCCTCCACCACGCGGGCATGACCACAGGCCAGGCACCGAATCGACGCTATGGCCCGAAGCAATCTCCTCCGCGTTACCCTCTGCTCTGCCTCCGACATCTTCGCGCCCAAGGCTCCCACCGCCCCAAACGGAGGTGAAAGGAAGGTCCCGAAGAGGGCCCCGCTGACGTTCGCCAAGCTCCGCTGCAGGTACTCGAAGACAACTGGATTACATGGTCCCGATGAGAGATGCTCTCCTGCTTGCTCGCCTCGCTCCTGAAGTGCAGATGCCCAGAAAGAGCCAGGAACAAGACGCTGAATAACACCAAGCCCGAGAACACCTGCACGAAGTCCCTCCCATTTGTAGCCGACCCACCTTCACTGAACCCACGGAAGAGGAAGCTGCGCGGACTTGCGTTTGAAAGGGAGGTCGTGCGTAGTGCCTATGGCTGAGACGCGGGGGGGGGGGACTGACCGGGGGGGCATTCGACACCCATCTTGGATCCCTTTGGCACCTCATTCAGCCTTCCCCGCCCTTGCGAGTCCAGCGTTTCGAGCCAAGCCCCTGAGGCGGCGAGAGGTTGAGCAAGCCATGGTTGCTACGGGAATATTGGGGGTTCGGAGAACAGCGTGAGCGCTGCCAAGGCTGCCAATGCGTCAGCCATCTCATCCGTGGGGTCCTCTCAATGAGATTTGACGTGGCGAATATCTAAGATGCTGCTCCGCTGCAAGCACAAGACGAGTGACCTCATGCATTCCACCTGACCTGGCACTTCAGGCATCCCACCCTCGCCTGGGGCAGCATGGAAAACAACAAATTTGTCGACGTGAAAACTCAAGTACGCACACCGAGACCTGGAAGGCTTCAAGGTCAACCACACCAGCAAAGTGACCACCATGATGCCAGGTACCTTGGGGGTGCAATAGTAACACCACGAAAGCCCACGACAGGGGAACCGATTCCCCTCCACCCCCCCAATCCTGCCATGTAGACAGAGGCACGAAAGACGTTGGGGTCACAACATGGGAGATGATAATGGGAGCGAAGACAATCAACAGAACGAAGGAGCAGAAAGCGCTCAAGTTATTACCATGATGTTGACGGTGCCTTCATGTCCTGGAGTAGGCCTGAGCATGAAACAGAGCTTGACCTTGTTGTGGCAAATTGGCTCCGTGGACCCTGATCGATGAGGTCTATCGGAATCGGGGTGGGCATGGAGGCTACCCCTCCCGCCCATCTTCGTCTAAGCCTTCTGAGGCCTGAGCATGCTGCTGTGGTTGCTGCGGCCACATGCGCCCTTTCAACTGGACTCGTTCGCCCGCGGCGGACACGAATGCCTGCCCGCTCTGAAATCATCGTCGGCAAAGTGCTTCGATCGACCCCTGCGCGGCTCCGCCTGCATACCCCCGGGCCCCCTGGGGCCAGCGGCGGTAGCGGTCCAGGTGGAAGGATTCAGGAAGTGTGGTGGCGGCGGGACACCTGTCGATGACGTCCGCACAGCCACAAGCAAAGCCTCGTGACGAACGCTCCCAGAATTGAACTGCGTTCCCAGCGACGTCAGAGTGTAATCGACTCTCTCCTGGTACGATTGGAGAGACCTCGACAGTGATCCAATATGAGCTTTGGTAGTCGGCCAATCGACAACCTGCTGAGGCTGAATCGTTGGCGCTGCTGGTGCTGGCGGGGCGGCTGCTGCTGTCGATGCCGGGGGGCAGGAGCGCGTCGGACATGTTCTGCTTCCCTGATTGCCTCGCTCACCACCGGGTCCTCGCCGTCCATGAGATCGTCGTCGTCGGTAGGTTCTCGTTGGGGCTTTGGGCGGGGGGAAGGAGGTGACGCTTCTATTTCTGTGAACGCCTGCTGACGACAGTAGCCCACTCCTCTGTCTGATCTTTGTGGACTCGAAGGTTGTCGAGCTCCGATTTCTCGATACGAATGGACTCGCTCTGTGAGTCCAGGCGCGTCTGAGCTCGCTGCAACGCTGCTCGTTGGCGCTTCTTGTGCTGTTCCCAAGGACGGCATAGATGAATGGCTGTGAGTAGCACCGCACACCATTCTCGCTCGTCCTCTTTGTAATCCCCTACAAACTCCTTCATCCTGATCGTCGCAGCAAGGACGTGTATCTCCAGTCTGCGCCGTGAAATGTAGTACGTTCTATCCGCATCGGCAGCATAGGGTACCTGGGAATTTCGGATGGGAAGTCGCATGCACAGGCAGAGCAGGAAGGATGGCCAAAGGTTCGGTGTTGTGAGCCTGACTGCTGGCCTCCTCGTCGACTGGGTCCGCAATCGACGCTGACGCTGACCTTTCTCTCCGCCGTCGCGATGGAGGCCTTCTCTGCTGCTGATTGTGCACCCGTGGATCCCTCGTCGTGCCATGTGATGCTGCCGACCCTCTGCCATCGGCGCCCGCGGCCTCCCCACCGCGCTGCGTTGGCCTGCCACGGCCACGCTGCCCAGCAGCCTGCTGGTCTGGCATGCACGCACGACAGAACTGCCTGTCGGGGAAACTGGAAGCACCACAACTTTCGCATATCCAACGATCGACTTGCTCCCGTAGCATAGACTGCCGCTGCTGCTGAACCAGGGGATGAGTTGGCACCCTTTCTCTGAGCGCTGCAATCCTCACGATGGTGGAATATTCTGTTCTCCTCTGACGCTAACGCCTGTGCCACGCGCCTTCTGGAAATACACGATTCGCGGCTGGCCGCTGTGGCGGCTAACGCGCTAGGCGTGTGCGCTGACTCTGGGCGGAATCTACAGAGTCGGATATGGAAGTGATATGAAGGGACCGTTAGCCCGCCTCGTCCACCACAGGGGCAGGACCCGAGACGGGAATTGGGGAAGTGGCGAGCGGCTAGCGCACGGAGGCTTTATGACGATGTGGAGGAGGAGAATGAGCAGAAGTGTGTTGATGAGGATGGTAGTGGTGATAGCGGGGATGGTGATATTCACGATCCTGATGATGATGCTGGTGATGATGATGATGATGGTGGTGGTGGTGGTTGTCACGATGTTGATGATGCTGATGATGATGATGATGATGATGATGATGATGATGATGAGGGTGATGAGGGTGAGCATGAGGATGAGGATCAGGATCAGGATGTGCATGTGGATGGTGACGATGACGACGACGACGACGACGACGACGACGACGACGACGACGATGATGATGATGATGATGATGATGATGGTGATGGTGGTGGTGATGGTGATGGTGCTGATGACGATGTTAATGATAAGTATGATGAGTGTGGTGGCGATGGTGATGATGACGATGATAACGATGATGATGAAGATGATCTTAATGATGATGACGATGATGATGATGATGTTGATGCTGATGGTGGTGATGATGATGGTGACGAGGTTGGTGGTGATGATGATGGTGCTGTTGGTGATGAGGATGTGGATGAGGATGGGGATGAGAGAGAGGATGAGGATGAGGATGATGATGGCGATGCTGACGATGACGACGACGAAGATGATGATGATGATGATGATGATGATGATGATGATGATGATGATAATGATGATAGTGATGATGATGATGACGACGAGGAGGAGGGTGGAGGTGATGACGACGATGACGATAAGGGTGGTGGTGTTGCTGGTGATGGCAATGTTGATGACGGTGACGGTGGTGGTGATGAATGTAATGCTGAAGGTGATGCACGTGTGTGCTTTCTCCTACTTCCCACCTCGCCACGGAAGTCGGCTCCAGTAGACCCCATTATCCTTTTTGCCCGCGAGGCATGATGCACAGAGACGTGAAGCCCGACAACTTCCGCTTCCAAGACCGCGCGGGGGGAGTGCGCGGCGGCATGCCTCCGCACGCCGCGCCTCGGCTGCCCTTCTGCCGACCCTTCCACCCTCACGCGTTGCTCGCGCTCGGCAGGGAGTTGAGAGGGTGGCTTTCATGTGTTCGCATCGCTACTCGATTGTTGTACTCCCTGTAGTCCATGTTTGTTTCTTTCTCCAGTCCCTCTCCACCTCTTTCCCTCCATCCTTTTCTCTACTGCCCCTCCCCGCACCCCTCTCATCGTCCCTTTCCCTCCTTCCGTCATCCCTCCTTCCCTCCCCCGTCGCCCCCGTCCGCCGTCTACTCTACTCTCCTCTCCACCATGCATACCTTTCCCCGCGCTTCATCCATCCATGCATCCATCCTTGCCACCCCCCCCCCCCCACCCCATCCCGCTCCTGCCAGCCGCGAAAAACAGCCTGCACTGGGCTCCGCGCCCAGGTGGCTGCGGCGAGCTCTTCGCAAAGAAACCAGGCGCAGATGCCGTCGCAGCCGGTCGCTGCTCGAAAGCCACACGGCCGGAGATCCCATCCGAGCCGGGGTGGGTGTCCTATTGGGTGGCCTCACTTGCCCGATGTTGTAGGGGAGGACGAGAACGAGGAGACCCCCCCCCTCGTCCTGCGTAATCACTCCTCTTCATCACGCCATCAGGCGCGTCGGCAGGCCGGGCCCTGCAGCTCGCTCGCCTCGTCACGGCGCAGCGCGGTGAGTCGCCGAGCGCGCTCCGCGACTCGCAAAGCGCCGACTCGCAGGCGTCCGAGAAAAAATGCTGTTTTCTTTGTGACGGGTCGTCAATCCCACGCGGCGGGTCCAGGCCATTTTTGCGAGCAGGTAATTTCGCGCTCGACCAGTTCAAGCGGGGATCGTCGCCCCAGTCCCGCGGGCATCCGTTCTGCAAATCTCCGGCAGCTGCATGGATGGAGGGCGGTTTCTTGTCGATCTAGTGTTCTCGCGTTCTGGCGCCGCGCCATGTCGTCTTTAGGGCTTACAACATCCACACGGATTGAGGGCGGCCCTTTTTCAACATAATGATCTCGCCCTGGCGCCGCGCACATCCGAATGCGAAGCTTGCAACAGCTACACGCACGGAGGGCGGTACCTTTTCAAAGTTGGGCTCTCGGCTTAGCGGCCGTCAAATTGAATGGCTCGAGCTCTAACATGGCGCAACGGCTTCACGGATGGAGCGCGGCTCTATGTCAAAATTTGGTGATCGTTGCAGATCTCGTCAAAGCTTCAGCGGCAAAATGTTCGAAAGGTGTAAAAGGTATCTGCGTGGAGGGCGTTCATTGTTCAACATGTTTTGTCGCCTGGCATTCACGGAGCGATCTTTTTTTGAAGAGTGCACCCGTTGTTGTGAAGAAGAGTGGTCGCAGGGACGCACAGTCAGAAATTGATGCTCGTCGTGTCGCGCCGTCCCCCTTTCTGGCCCGCCACCCTGCGGCGCGACAGGCGAAGCACGTCCCCCAGCTCATGTGTGTGAATGTCAGCTCTTCACTCGAAGAAGGAAATAACACACATACCTAAACTTTTGGCGCTCCGCGCGGATTTCTTGAATCCGCGCCTGGGCCCCCTGGCGGCGCCTCCGGCGCCGCTCCTGGCACGGTCCGCGCGCCAGGGAGGAAGGGGTCTTTGCGCGAATCCAAGAAATCCGCGCGGAGCGCCAAAAGTTTAAATGTGTGTGTGCGTTTTTCTTCTATTCACAGCATCTTGCCTCGCGAAGCACAGCAGCGCGCCATGAGCCGGGGTGTCAGATCCTCGTCCTCCTGTGGGTGCTTGGGGCAAGCGTGTGCTGTCCGACGAAAAGTTCGCGTCCTGGCTCCAGCTGGACGACGACACGCTCCGCAGTTTCATGCCTTCTTTGTTCCAGTCCCACCGGGACAAACTGCTCCATCGTCGTGCCATGGCGGCTGCGGGCCTGCCTGGCCCCGTCACGGTCGCTGTGCAGGCCTCACAGGACGTGGGTTCCCTGTCCGCCAGGCTCGACAAGGTTCAGGCTGGCGCGGCGCAGGAGGCCATCGATTACGTCGTCGAGGTCGAAGATGAGTTGCAGGCGCTCCAGGACAAGTACGCCGAGGCGAGGCGCGGGTTTGGGTCGGCGCCCTGGCACGCCCGCAGCCTGCATGCCCCCCCGCCCAGCTGCAAGCGGCCCACCAAGCCCTCGACGGCATGGTCGGTGCCCCGGCGGCTCAGGGGAGCCAGGCGGCTCAGTTCGCCCAGGCACGGTGCCGTCCAGCAGGCGCTGTCCACCTTTGTGCCTGCGGGAGGGCTGGCAGCGGGAGCGGCCCCCCCCGCGGCCGCGCCTCAGCCGCAGGTTGGCGGCTTGGCCCCTGTGGCGGGGGGACAGCAGGCGCGCGAGGGGGCGCCGCCTCCTCAGCTTGCCGCCGCCGCCACACCTCAGGTGTTTCACGGACACCCTGCAGGTGCGAGCTGGGACGAGCCCGCGGGCGATGGCGACGTGGACGTCGAGCTCGTCGACGCTGACCCTGGCTTGGTCCCGCCGCAGTTCCCCGCGCTGCCTGGCGATGAGAAGGTTGCCCAAGAGGTCGGGCGCAGGGCGGCAGCGATCACCCGGCTCGAGCTCAGCCAACGAGTTCAGAAGGCGGCAGAGGCGGCGATCGGAGGCGCAGCGGCCGCGGCCCCCGCCCGCCGCCGCAGCCGCTCCCAGGCCGAGACCGCATCGGCCCACCCCACGGCGGGCCGAGCGGGGGGGGCCACTGCCAAGGCGGGGAGGCAGCGGGGGTAGCTCCCTCAGCGGCGGGCGGTGCAGCCCGTCTCCCTCCGCGGCGCCGTCGGCTGTGGCGTCGGAGGGCCCAGCGCGGCAGAGAGGCTCGTCATCGGGCGGCCCGCGCATCTGGACGTTCACCACATGCAACATCACGAGGTGGCGCAGTTGCCAGCACTTCCTGCAGGCCGAGGCTGAGGGAGACGCGGTGCTGCTGCAGGAGATAGCCGTCGCCCCCGCCGACCGCGGCATGGCAGAGGCCTCCCTAGGTCGCCTCGGCTGGAAGATCACGGTGGCGCCTAGCCGTGACACAGGTGGTCGCCTCTCGAGCGGAGTTGCGATCGCCGTCAGGCCGCGCCTCGGGCTCGGTGAGGCCCCCATCGTCAGGCGCCCGTGGCCTTCGGAGCGGGTCAGTCCCAAGTGGTTCAACGGGTTAGTCAAGGGGGGCATCCTCATCGGCTCGGTCTACCTTGTCTCGGGAGGCGGCCTTGACGATGTCTCGTTCGGGGCGTTGAAGAAGCAGCTGGGCGAGGCCTTGCGGACCCCGGGGCGGCCCCTCATCCTCGGAGGCGACTGGAATTTGGAGCCCACGGAGTTCCTGGCGTCTGGGCGGCCGGCCTCGCTGGGGGCTGCCATCGTGTCGCCTGGGACTTACGCGTGCAGGGTCTCTGGGGCCAAGTGGCACACGCTCGATTATTTCGTGGTCTCAGCTGGGTTTCTGTCTGGAGTCGTCGGATGTTCCCGACAGGAGGAGGGCACCACCAGCCCGCATTGGGCTGTGCAGCTGCGGGTGTATGGGGCCCCTTTCCTCCGTTCAGCTCCCATCGTATGGGTTGCCGAAACAGTTCCCCTTGGAACTTCCTTCGGGGCCTCGCCTTGCTGGGCTGGATTGGAGCCGCGTCATCCAGGGCTCAGAGTCGGACGCCACCTCGGGGGGGCCGCCAATTGCTACCTCGCGTTTTGTGATCAGGCAGAGGCCGAGCTGTCATTGCTCCACGGCCAATCGGAGGCGAAGACGAAGTTGTTCTCTGGAAGGGGTCGTGGAGCCACGGTTGTTCGGCGGTCGGTTTTGCGGAAGTCAGGCGGGGCTCATCCCAGGGCCTCCGCTGAAACTAGAGCGCGGAGAACGGTTCTGCACCGTCTTCAGGAGCTCACGCGCGGCATTTGCACCAGAAGCTTCTCTCGTGGCCCGGCCAGCTTCGTTCCTGCACCGAGCGGGCCACTGTTCGGGCGTGGCTGTCGGAGCAGACTCTGGGGCCCGAGCTGAACCTTTTCTGGTATCTTTCAGAATCTCACCTCAGCGCACTCTCGAGAGCAGGTTCGCTGCGAAGAGGGCCAAGGGCTGGAGGGGGACGGTCGCTCGAGCGGCGCACCATGGAGGTGGGCTCGCCCATCGCATCACCCGCCAGCCGACCGAGCGGATCCCGGACGAGGCCTCGGAGTGCCAGGACGGAGCGCCAGCTGGGGCGGACGGCCCCCACAGGGACCTGGAGTCGGAGTGGAAATCAATTTGGGGCTGGAGGTCGTCTGAGGAGGAAGCGCCGAGGATTAAAGCTGCCACTGCGCATATCCAAGGGCTTGACCCCCCTCCGATAGATGAGCCCCCCAGCCCCGATGGGCTACGCAGAGTTCTCAGAGGCTTCGACGATGGACGGCAGTGGGGGCTGATGGCTGGCACCCGTACGTCCTTCAGCAGCTCACCGGTCAGGGCCCGGTGCATCTGGGGCTGGCATCGAGGAGCTGATGTCGTTCCCGCGTCAGTCGTGGAAAGTTATCATTGGGTTTCTTCAGGAGCCCGAAGGGGGACGCAGGCCCAGTGGGACCCCCACCACGTTCCGCCGTGTCCTCGGGGCTCTTCGACGGGGTTACGTGGTTCAGTGGGAGAGCTCGCCCCCGCGAGACTGGGCGTTTGGTAGCAGGGGCAAGTCTTGTGAGCAGGCCGCGTGGAGGCAGGCGTTCGTGGCTGAGTGGCCCAAGGCCAATCATCAGGCCTCGGCCAGCACCCTGGTGGACCTCCAGAAGGCCTACGAGATGGCCCCCCACGTTCGGCTTCTTCGATGGGGCCAGGAGCTCCAGTTCAACCTCCATAGCCTGGCCCTCCTCGTCATCATGCACCCTGTGCCGAGGGCCCTGCAGGTTGGGGTTTTCATTTCCCAGGACTCGTCTCGCATCCCCCAGGGCATCATCGCAGGCCGCGCCTTCCCCGCGACGTTGCTTCGCATGTTCCCCCTGCCCATCTTGGATGAGGTGATCCGAGAGACTGCGCTCAGCGC